CAACACAAGTCGCCTGCTACGCACGCTGGGGCGGGAGCGGCATTGCCGCCGCCTCAGCCATTTACATGCTCACGAGGCAACGCAGCGCCTGCTTATCATTCAACGCCTGCCACTGAGTGGACACCAGCAGCTTCAAGGGATTGCCCAACCAGGTGGGGATCCCGGGATTGGGAAGCTCAAATAGGTGGGGATTGGGAAGCATTGCTGCAGGCCTGGATGGACTGCAGCAGCAGCTCGTATGTGAGCCGTATTGTGATGATAGCCTTCTCAGGGCTCCGCGATGCCGGCATCGCTCTAGCAGCTCAGCACAGCCCTCGCCGCATTGCTTGTGTCCGCCACGTGTTCAACCAGTACATGGAGGAGGGTTGCACGCCAGGTCGGCAGTGACGTCCGGATGGAAGCCTGCGCGAAGAAAAGGGCAGGAAAATTGACAGTCTGGAGGCAGCCCATGCACACGTGGGCCCACCACAATCCACATGCTGAGCCCAGCAGCGGGGCAAAACCGTTCCCCCGACGAAGGCGTGGATAGAGGTTGGAGTGCAGAGCGCGGCCGGAAAAGGGGTTGAAGCTGTGATACGGGCACCGATTCACTCGCTGTCAGTTGAATGAATCATCGAACTGCACACAGTCCTGAGTTGGCAGGGTCCGCATGTCTCGCTGGCGGCGGTGCCGACGCCAGCAGTAGGCAGGCAGACAATTCCCTATGTGGTGCCCTGTTTGGCTATCTTGCCGCGTTTTGAAGCTGCCGGTGTCGTTCACAATCCAGGAGCGGCCTCAGGCACGCCGCAAACAGGTAGCGATGTCGGTCACGAACGCAGCGCTCCGCTTCCACCCCGCGCACATTGCTGGGCACCCCCGCACGGCCGGCCTGCGAGGCGCAGGTGGGGTGTTGCTCACTGAGTCGAGTTTTTTTGCCCTCGGGTTTTGCCCGCCGAATTCTCCTCCTTAAACCATCAAATCCGCAATGTTGTCTGCACTCTTGCAGGCTGCCTACCGCTGCGCAACACCCGCCTGCTTCGCTCGGCTGCGGCGGCGCCCCCGCCGGTTCAGGCGGGCGCGCACGGCACAGCGCCGCGCTCTGCGTATGCCAGACGCAAGGTGCCGGAACTGGATCATCAACTGCCTGATATGCGGCCAGTCAAGCAGCTGGTTGAGCCCATCTCCCTTTTCATGGCCATCGTGTGCTTCATGTGCGGCGACTTCTACGGTGGCTGCGTGTTTCTCTTTTGTGTCGTCCTGGTCCGGCTGATGCAATGAACTGCGGCGACCGAGAGCACAGGTGGGTGGAGGGGAGTGCAGAGGGAGGATGCATAGGAGAGACAGTGTTTTTGCGAGGGAAACCTGGCGCTGCTGGTTCTCGCTGGCAGTGCTCCCAGCGCTCGCTCCCGAGCTGCCCCTGCTGCGTTTGCGTTCAGGCTGTGGTGGCTGGGCGGCCCCGCCCTCACCGCCCCTCTTCTTGTGTGCACCCTGCATTTCCAAGCATTGTGAAGTGCACGCCGCCTCCGTCATATTTCCTTTAATTGAAGTTGCTTGCTTGTTGCTCAAGGCGTGCAACAATTTTGCCCCCTGTTCTGCAGCTCTGCTGTTCAAGTGGCAATGCCAGTTGAGCTCAGATCTCCGGGCCACAGCTCTCTGGCCAGCGCGGAAGCTTGGAGCGCTGCCATCTCACCTAACCCGCTGACAGTGAGGCTGGCGAGTCTGCGCCGTGACCTCGGCACATGCGCCATGACCTCAGCACACAACTCGGCTGGCAGGGACGTGGGCAGCTGCGGCTGCCTCGCAAGCCGGGGCCGCTGTGGCAGCGCTGGCTGCGGCGGGCAGCCAAACTCTGGAACAAGACGCTGGATGAGCGGCCTGGCAGCCTGTTGCAGCAAGCGCTGCAGTCCAGCGTGCAACTCGCTGACGGCGGCCACCCCCTGGCACAGCAGTCCTGGGCTGCCCAGCTGGCGTCCGGCCTCGCACCGGCCGGCATGCAGCTGGACCTGCAGCAGCCAGCGCCTGTTGACCTCGGCGAGCAAGGGAAAGCTGCCCAGCGCCGCCAGGTGACGCAGTTCCAGGAGGCGCTGGCGAAAGGCGGCGCCAGCCGGCTGGAGCACTATGTGCACAATATGGTGGGCGCCCTCAACATGGCGCCCGCAATGTTTGGGCAGCGCGAGATGTACCTGGATGCAATACGGTGTCGGCAGGACCGCGAGGGGCTGGCACAGCTATGCACCGGGTCGCATTGGGCGAGGAAGAGACCCGCCGCTGGTCGCAGCGCTCCCGAGACCAGGGAGTTTGTCCTCACTGCCACATCGGCGTTGAAGGTGCCCCCCACATGCTGCTCACCTTCCCCCTTTACGCCTCGCTGCGCCTCGACTTTCCCGACCTGTTTGCCCCATCCTCCCCACCGCTTCCTCCGCCGAAAACCGTGCCGCCTCGCCTCCTTTGCTGCCGCCTGTCACCAGCGTTGGCAGGCCGCCACCACTGCGCTGCCTGCGTTCTCACCCTGAATACCACTCTCCTGTTCACTCCCTTTGCTCTTACCGCACCACACCAGCTCTACTGACCTGCAGTACTGTCTGCTCGCTCACGCACTGAACGCTTAATGTCCTTACGAACACAAAAACGCAAAAGCATAGAATATGTGAGGCTGACCGGCAGCATCAAAGCAGGTCAGATAGCAGGCGCTGGGGCTACAAACTGTATGTAAAGTGAATAATACAGCAGGCAGTCGCCCCTCCCGCAGGCAGCTAGCTGCGCCAAGTGGCTGTGCCGCTGCCGCCGCTGCCGCCACTGTCAGGTACATCTTCTGCTAGCTTGGAGTACCTTAAATTGGCTGACCAGGCCTCCCACGCCTCCTCGCAGCATTTGGAGACAGCTACCCCCGAAACAATTGTGAACAGCGCATCGATTTGATGTACTAGAGGGGCGGGGAATGGCAGGCCGCATCCTAACGCTATGCGGCATGCAGCGACCACAAACTTCCCAGTCAACGCCACTGGAAAAAGCAGCAGCAGTACCTGCTGCAAGCGTGTTTCCCTAAAGTAAACCTGCTCTGCACCGGCTGTCCTGGCAGCTTCCAGGGGCAAGGAGGCCTGCAGCAGGTGGGGAGCAAGGGGGATGAGGGAGAGGGGCGGGGGGAAGGGGCTGGGTCAGGGGGAGTTTGGGCGTGCGGGAAATGGTTCTCGATGGAGACTGCGAAATATTCCCATGCTGGAGATTGCCACATACCAGGCTGTTGGCCCCAGAGCTGACCTGCAGTGACGCCATCTGCGCAGCGACTGCTGAGTCACGTGTCAGGCTGCGCTGCAGCACCCCGAATGTTGCCCACATTATATACAGCATTGCTGCCAGCAGCAGCGCACCCAGCAGCAGCACTGCCGTACCCAGCAGCACTGCCGGCTTGGCTGCCAGCAGCCCCGCTAGTGCCTGCCACACATTGAAGGCAAGCACCCATGGCAGCACTGGCAGCACTGCCGGGGCCATGCCGATAGCTGCTGTCAGCGAATGCGCCAGAGTCGCGACCAGTGTGGCTGCCCGCTGCGCCAGCGGCACGCCTGCGCCGCCGCCAGGCTCAGGCTCGCCTGCCATGGGTGGCTCGGGCGGGCTGCCGCCGTCGCTGCTGCCGCCGGTGCTTGCTCCCAGGCACCGACGCGGCCCGGAGCGGCGGCACAGCTGCTGCACGCTGTGGGGTGCCAGGCTGATGCCTGCAGGGGCGAGACCAGGAGGTGGTGGGGTGGGTGTGAGGCGAAAGAGTGCTGGCGATGAAGACCACAGGCAGAACAAGCTGCTTGACTCCCACCCATGCTGCTACGCCGCAGGTGACCTTCAACAGCCCAACCCCAAAACCTGAGCGCCCACAGCTGCTGCCACCTACCATCTGCGGCCGTGCTTGGGCGCCCGACAGAGGCACGAAGCATGGAGCGGGCGACAGCGCGAACGCCGGCGCGGCGAGGCTGAGCGGCAGGGCACCGCCCGGGCGCAGTGGTCATGCAGGACGATGCGATGGGCCGCCACATGGCTTCTGTACACTGCATGAGGCAGGGGGGAGCCATGCATGGTCGAGCAAAAGTTAGCCGGGGATTGCCAAAATGGGAGCCAGCCGTCAGGCGCGGCGGCAGGGGCCGCCGTTGGCAGGAAGCAGTGCCAACTGGCCATGTGCGGCCGCTGACGCCGGCCTGCCAAGGCAGGAAGCTGTGCCAGCTGGCCGTGTGCGGCCGCTGACGCCGGCCTGCCAAGGCAGGGAGCCGCTTCCCGGCCGGCTGACAGCCTCTGTGCGGGCATGGGCGGCGTCCAAGGCAGAGCATGGCCCTGGGGAGGGCAGGGAGCCTGGGCAGGGGCCTGGAGGCGCCGCTTGTCTCCCGACCAATCCCTGGTCGCTTCTCTGCCCCCTGCTGAGCCTGCCTGCTGGTGCCTGCTGCCCCCATCCGGATCCACTCGCCTTACCACGCGTCCAAGGCACTCGTTTCCAGACAGCAGAACGCCAGACAGCAGTGCACGCCTCGATCACCAGGTTGTAGTGCAGGGAGAGCTGCACAGAAGAGGGAGCCAGGGGAGGAGCAGGAGAGGAGCAGGCATGCTCACCATGTGGGCGGCGTCACCTGTCCTGTCGCCATACCTTTCTTCACTTGACAAATGAAGTTCGACGAAGGGTAAGCAATGTGTCAGGCATTGTGATCTTAAGGGGGAGGCACAGCAGGTCAACCTGGATGGGTGGAGTGCTGCTGGCGGCTGGAGGTAAGTGGAGCGTGGGTCTTTGGGGGCAGGGGTGGTGGGTTCAATGCGATATGGGCAAGGGTACAGAGGTGGGCAGAGCACTGTTGCGCGTGCACACGCCGCTGCTGCACGGGTCGCGGCGGCAGTGCCAGCCGTGCCTAGGCCTCAGTCAGCGCCTGCCACATGGGGTCGGCAACGGGCACAAGGCGCCAGGCCGACAGCGGGTACGCAGCCATGCCCAGCACTACGCCTTGCTGTCCCGCCCGAAGGAATGCCCAGCACGCGCAGCAGCACATCAGGCGTCAGCACGACCAGGCCAGCAGGCGATGCTTGTGTGTCGGAGGCAGCTGCAGCGGCCGCTGCGCGGAGGAGTCGCGGTACCCTGCCAGCCCCAGCGTGCGGGGCACAGCGCTGAAGGCGGGCGGGTAGGAGGCGTGGCTCACCGGACTGCAGGCCCTGGGGCTCGTGCTGCGCTGCCTGTTAGCCATCTGCAGGGGACCAAAGAGAGAGGTGAACGCACATCAATGATAAGTATCAACAGCAGCAGCAGCAGCAGCGACGAAGCGACGCAACAGCTGTTACTGAGCACAGCCTGGCCGGTGCAGCAGAGAGCTGCTTCGTCGTGCATGCAACGCTGCTGCCGCTCAGCTGACACAGATAGCAGCAGAGATGCATACAGCACAAGCAGCCACCCAGCGTGCTGATGCCAGGCCCAAGATTCCGCCCACCTGCCACTGCCCTGCGGCTCCAAGAGACGCGCCCAGTCGGGGTGCTCCAGTGGCAAGATGTTGGAATGGGGACGCGCAGAGGGTGAGGATGTCCCTAAAGACATCGGACACGGGGAGGGTGCGGCAGCGGGTGGGGCAGCAGCCGCACGCCACCATCGCCTCGACTGTGCGCGGCAAAGTGGTCGTGGCTGGCAGCCAGCTTGGCGTTGGAGGCGAGGGCGATGGCCGCCATGCCCTCGCGATCATATGATGCATCGGAGATACCCGCTGCGCTGAGGACGGCGTCCACTTCTATCGCCAGCTGCAGTCAAGGCGGGGCAGGTAGACATGTTGGCAGCGAGGCTGGTAAAAACAGTCGAGCACTCGGTTGAAGAAGCAGGCGAAGGCGTCATGGCGGTCCAGGGGCACCGCCGCCGCGCCACAGCAAAGGTACGACCGCACCTGCTCCCACCGTGAGCCGCCGGGGCAGAAGCCCAGGTACTTCTTGCTGGGCGGCGCACGCAGCCGCGCCAGCAGCGGTGCGTTGTTGCGTGTGGTGCAGCCGGCTGCCACAACCGCATCCAGCACGCTGGCGTCGCAGGTGGCTGCAGCAACTGCGCCAGCTCCCATGCGCTGGTAAAGTGCTCATCGGGGTTGTTATCTTCAAGCGCGATGGTGTCCTGTGCGCCCGCCCGCAGCGCCCGCTTCGCCTCGACGTGCTGCAGCCGCAGATGGCGGCGGCGGAGGCAGAGAGCCGGGTGCCGGCTGCCAGACTGTGCGGCAGCCGGGCATCCAGCGCCTTCAGTGCCTGAGATACTTCCCTAATTTTGCTGCACAGCGTGCCAGGAGTTTGGGCAGGACAAATGGTGAGGTTTCGGGTTCTGTTTCGCCTTCCCGCCCCGCCTTTCCTGGCCGCTCCTTCCCACTCACGAGCCCAGCGCCTGGGAGCCGCCACCCACTCCCAGCTCAGCGCCGTCTGAACGATCCAGGAAAGCCTCGGCCAGCCGCCCGAGCTCGTGCTCGCCCCTGGGCGAGGAGGCGGGGGACGCCAGGCTCGCGGCCAGAGCCTCCAGATCGTTTGAAGTTGCATCCATCGCATGCAGGGATAGCGGGAATGGCCGCCAGCCTGATTGCTACAAACAAGTGTTGCCCGCTATGCACGCTGGGGCGGGAGCGGCATGCTGCCGCCTCAGCGATTGACATGCTCACGAGGCAACGCAGCGCCTGCTTTCCATTCAACGCCTGCCACTGAGTAGACACCAGCAGCTTCAAGGGATTGCCTAAACAGGTGGGGATCCCGGGGTTTGGGAAGCGTTGCCGCAGGCCTGGACGAACAGCAGCAGCAGCTCGCATGTGAGCCGTATTGGGATGAAAGCCTTCTCAGGGCTCCGCTTCGACGGCATCAGATGCAGCAGCTCAGCATAGCCCACGCCGCATTGCAGGTGGCCTGGGGCCACCCAGCATAGAACCGCTGCCCCACAGGCTGACTGCATCCAGGCTGCTGCCAGCTGGAGTGCCGACACCGAGGCCAGGCCACAGCGGCTCGCCAGGTGGCTGCCAAGCTCTCCCGTCTGGTCTTCCGGCGGCGAGGGCGGTGCCGCCACGTGTTCCCTCAGTACATGGAGGAGGGTTGCACGCCAGCTTCGGCAGTGACGTCCGGATGGAAGCCTGCGCGAAGAAAGGGGCAGGAAAATTGACAGTCTGGAGGCAGCCCATGCACATGTGGTCCCACCACAATCCACATGCTGAGCCCAGCAGCGGGGCGGAACCGTTCCCCGACAAAGGCGTGGATAGAGGTTGGGGCGCAGAGCGCGGCCAGTTTGAAGCTGTGAGATGGGCACCAGTTCACTCGCTGTCAGTTGAATGAATCGTTGAACTGCACATAGTCCTGGAGCGGCACGATCTGCATGACTCGCTGGCGGCGGTGCCGACGCCATTGTAGTTGGCAGGCAATTCCAGATTTGGTGCCCTGTTTTGCATACTTGCCGCGTTTTGAAGCTGCCGGTGTCGTTCACAATCCAGGAGCGGCCTCAGGCACGCCGCAAGCCGGTAGCGATGTCGGTCTCGGTCACCAACGCAGCGCTCCGCTTCCACCCCGCGCACATTGCTGGGCACCCCCGCACGGCCGGCCTCCGAGGCGCAGGTGGGATGTTGCCCACCTTGAGCCGAGGGTCCTTGAGTTTTTGCCCGCCCTAAGTTCTCCTCCAATAAACCAGGATCCTTCCTGTTGTCTGCACTCTTGCAGGCTGCCTACCGCCACGCAACACCCGCCTGCTTCGCTCGGCTGCGGCGGCGCCCCCGCCCGAGGGGGTGTCGCCCGCTCAGTGCGCCCCCGCACAGGCGGGCGCGCACGGCACACCGCCACGCTCTGTGTATGCCAGACGCAAGGTGCCGAAACTGGATCATCAACTGCCTGATATGCGGCCAGTCAAGCAGCTGGTTGGGCCCATCTCCCTTTTCATGGCCATCGTGTGCTTCATGTGCGGCGACTTCTACGGTGGCTGCGTGTTTCTCTTTTGTGCCGTCATGGCCCGGCGGATGCAATGAGCTGCACCGACCGAGAGCACAGGTGGGTGGAGTGGAGTGCAGAGGGCGGATGCATAGGAGACAGTGTTGTTGCGAGGGAAACCTGGCGCTGCTGGTTCTCGCTGGCAGTGCTCCCAGCGCTCGCTCCCGAGCTGCCCCTGCTGCGTTTGCGTTCAGTGTATCGCGGCTGGGCGGCCCCGCCCTCACCGCCCCTCTTCTTGTGTGCACCCTGCGTTGCCAAGCGTTCTGAAGTGCACGCCGCCTCCATCAGTTTTCCCTTCAAGTTGTTTGCTTGTTCCTCACCCCGTGCAGGAATGTTACCCCCTGCTCGGCAGCTCCGCTTTTCACATGTATATCCTTGGGCAATGCCGGCTTGCGCTCACAGCTCCGGGACACCGCTGTCTGGCTGGCGTGGAAGCTTGGAGCGCTGTCATCTCACCCCGCCCTTGACAGTGAGGCCGGCGAGCCTGCGCCACGACCTCGGCACACAATTCGGCTGGAAGGGCTGGGCAGCTGCGGCTGCCTCGCAAGGCCCCCGCATTCATTCCCATTCCCTCAGAGCTCAGCCGGCATTGACCCTCTTCAAATCCTCTGCTTTGCACTCCTGGCTTGCATGTCCCTGCTCGCATCCTCACTCATCAACATGTCAACTGCCTTGGCAGCTGCCCTGTGTTTTGCAAGCTGCAGCTGCTCTTTGCAGCCCCCATCCCCTCATCCACTTCGCATACCACGCAATTGCGTTCTTTTCTCCTGCAGACGTCTGCACATACCGATTTGTTCACATGTAACCGACTTGCCAGCATGCACAGAAGACATGGGTTGCGCACGTATCCATTTGGAGCGCATCAGACGAAGCTGCATGAGGAGTTTTATTGGAAAGAACCTGTCTGATGCTGGCCCAAGGAACACCGCCAACCATGGTATCGCAGGGGAGGAGAAGGGCACGCCGGCCGGCGAGCAAGCGCCAATGCCACGACAGCCTGAAGACACACCATTTGCACAGCCGGAGACAGGCAGGCACGGCCCGTGCATGCTGCAATGCTGCGTACGTAGAAGCATCAACAGCCCGCTGGGAGGTGCGACGCAGTGGGCAAGCGGGCAGGGTGGGTTGCAGCCCGCAGCCCGCAAGCAGCAGCAGGAATGAGCTGGCAGCAGGTGGGGCGCAGTCCAGCCTGCCTGCCCCGCTCACCCCTGGTGGATAGGTGGCATCCAGCGCAGCGCAGAGGCCGGGCATGAAGGGAGCGCCGGCCAGCTGCCAGCAGCCTAGCACGCTCAGCATCAGGCTTGACACCAGCAACCGCAGCCCAGGGCTCGCGCCGCGTCCTGCCCGGCGCCCAGCAGCCACGCCCCTGCGCGGCGCGCCCGCCGCCTGCAGCACGCCCGCCTGCCACACCGCCAGCAGCGCGGCAGCGTGCGCAGCGCAGAGCGCGTCGACCAGAAGGGGCATGCTGCAGCGGCAGAGAGGGGGAGGGGGAGGGTGGGCGCTGGACCAGCCGAGGCTCAGGCTCAGGGTGCCCCGTCGAAACATGCGGGGGCGCTGAAACATGCGGCCCCAGACCAGCCCACGCCCAGCACACCCAGCAGCACCTGCCCTCCCTCCTTGCTGCCCTGCCACCCGAGCACTGCAGGTACTGACCTGCCGGGCACGGGCGGCGTTCCGTCGCCTCCGCCGCCGCCGTCGTCGTCGCCGCCGCCGTCCTCCGCCCGCAGCGCGCGCTTTGCGAGGCCCATCAGCGAGTGCAGGCCCTCCACCAGATCTCCCCACCCCCCATCCGGCAGCAGGCGGGGCACCAGCGCCGCGCGCCCCGGCTCCCCCAGCAGCCAGTGCACCAGGCGTTAGGCGCGGCTGTGCAGGAACCACAGCTGGCACGCCAGGCTGGCGGGCACCACCTGCGCCCGGGCGGGCCGCCCCGTCCAGCTGGGTCCGTCTGCGGGGCTGCTGTCGTCCCCCCAATCTGCATCTGCCCAGTGGCCCAGGTCCAGCAGCGTAGAATCCCAGACCTGCAGGAAGAGCGCCTCCGCTAGCTGCATGCCCGCCGGCGGCCGCGCCTGCACCTCCTCCTCCTCCTCCCCCACCTGCCGCGGCGGCAGCCGCGGCGGTGGCGACCGCGGAAGGTGCGACGCAGCGGGCCCGCCAGCAGCAGCCGCAGCGGCGGTGTCCGCATCGATGTCTGCCAGCCGCGGGAGCAGCCGCAGGCCGGCATCCGCTGCCGCGACCGCCGCTGCCGCCTCCTCGCTGCCCCACACCCTCGAGTTGACCAGTGTGGGCAGGTCAAGCGCTGCAGCAAAGAGCACACATAGCTCCTCGCCGTGCTTGGCCTCCGCTGGCAGCTGCAGCGCAAGCAGGGCGGCCGCCATGGCAGGCACCGCACGAGTCACCTCCCATGCCGCCGCATCCCAGGCGGCGCCGCCTGTGGAGCTGCGCCGCGGGGAGCCCTCATCTCCTGCCGACGCGCTGCCGTCGCTGCCGCCATAGCTGCCGTCGCTGCTGCCGTCGCTGCTGCCGTCACCCTCTATCACAGCTCGCTGGATGCACAGCGCTGCCAGCAGACCGGCCACAGCGGTCCGTGTATCCCGCACCAGACACGGGGCCACGCCGGGGGGTGCAGCGGCAGGCAGCGCCGCCAAAGCGGCGGCGGCGCGCTGCACTGCCACGCCGCCGTCGGGCTGGGCGACGATAGCTGCCAGGCCTTGCTCAAGAACAGGGCACAGCAGCACTGCCCCTGCCTGCGCCAACTCGCCCATCACAGCCTCCGGCGCTGAGCTGCTGCCGCCGCCATCGCAGTGCCCCGCCGCCACGGCCAGCCGACCGCCGCTTGCAAGAGCGCTGGTCAGGTGTGGGAGGCAGCGGTGCATCAGGGTGCGCACGACGACCAGAGGCGGCAGTACCGCCGATTCGCTGGCCGCCACTCAATCGAGGTGGTGCTGGCAGGGCTCGCTGGTCAGAAGCGCCCAGGTAAGGTCAAGATAGTCTGCCACCACCTGCCCCTCCAGGCTGGCGCCCTCGGGGCTGCTAGCGTCGCCACCTGCATGGCAAGCAAGAACAAAGGGGAGAGGTGGTTGGCCCGCTCCACCGTACAGCACGCGCAGCGGCCGCGGAGCCA